GCAGAGCCCTGGACGTATGTCCACCTGGCAACTGTCTCTCCCAGGCCCAGCCAGTGACCAGAGCAGCATAGACTCCCCAGTAAGAGTGACAGCCCACCCGGCCATGGAGTGTTCAGACGGTATCTGATCATCCCTCTGACTGTATTCCTAGAGCAGCATGTCCTTTAAATTGCTGGTATTTGTTTGTCAATAACAGTGAAGGAATTCTTGTGTTCCATCATTCTAACCATCCTACAAACCACACCCTAACTGTCGCTGGCCAGAACGTCCTTGCTAACTGGGAACCTCAGTTCCCAAGACAGCTGAAACCAGCTCTCATGCTCCACACTCAGACAGACGGGAACTTGGCCTCATGCATTCTTTGTGCCACCAGGACACATTCTAGAGCTCGGGGGTACTTTGAACAGATAGCTCTGAGAGGAGGAGCAGAACACATGGAAACATCCGGGTACTAACCCTGCCAAGAGTCCACCCTGGGATTAGGGAGGGTGGAAAAGTGGAAGGCCTTCCTTCCAGGAGGGAATCATCACCTCTCTCAAGACGGGGGTTTGTGACACACAGTTTTACGACTTAAAAAACCAAGGAACATGTGATGCCACCTTTCCATAAGAAATTCCTACAGACCGAGAGCAGTTCCCCAGCCTTCGAGTCTCAGAATCCCTTTGCACCATTAAAAATCACTCAGGACCCCGGAGAGCTTTTGTTTATGCAGATTTCACTTATCAACATTTACCAGTTTAAAATGGAGAATGTCTGAAACTATTACTTTGAAAATAAACTCATTACACAACAACATAAATAGCATATTTTAGTGAAAATTCTTTAAGAAGAAAAAGAAATTCCATCAGGCTAGCTAGAACATAGTGCCTCAAACTAACTTGTGATAAAAATAAGCATAATAGTGGTTAAGATGATAAATTTTTTTGTTATGTATATTTTACCACAATATAAAAAAAAAAACTCTTGCTTAGGCTTTAATTCTTAATCAACACACAACAGATATTTACCTGTCAACATCCTCTATAATTTTATATTAAGAATTTCTTTTAAATTATTGCCATGGTGAATAGTTCAGAAAATAAAATTAAAATAAATTTAAAAAAATAAATTAAAATGTTGAGTCAAATAATAACCAAGTTGTTAGGATATGCCACAGTTCTACCTTTGGAACTCAATTCTGTATGGCCGTAAGGCATTGATAGCGCACAGAAAACAAGACGGTTTCTCTTAAAAAGTGTCATTTGCCAAACCCTTTCTTACAATCCATTCTTAACCTTCCAAGTTACAAGAATCAGGTAATGTAAGCTAACATTACAATCTGGATCAACCTAGCTTGACTCAGATCTCCCTTTTCTAGAAACTAGTGTGCTAAAAATGACATGTTTTCAAATAAACTACTACCATGGCTAATTGTATTCTTCCTACTGCCTTTGATGGATATGAACTAACAAATCTGTACTCAAAAAGACTCTTTTTAATTTCCTAAAGTAAAAAAGCAGAGAGTTTTTAAGAGTGTCTCTACAGGACACACCAGTTTAAGATCAATAATTGTCTATTGTAGTTAATCCTATTTGTCAGCTGCCATAAAACATGTCCCAGAATTAGCTGCTGGGCTCAAGTACCATCTCTTGAAAACTAGAACGTGAAAACAAATCCTAACTGGCCAGTGGTTGACCTTTCATTTCACTTAGATACGAAATTTCCCTGACCCTGAAATTAGAATCAAAAGCAGCTGTGTCTTTACATGGTTTCCCCCCAGCATGAGGACAATGCAGGGCACATAGCAAAGACTTGATGAGCATGTGTTAAAAGAATAAACAAAAATAATGTCAAGGTTCAAGAGTTCACAATAGATATCAAAAGCAAGAAGTATTCACAGACACTTTACTTTTGGCAATAGACCAAGTTGCAAAAAAGTTACATATGCGGATCTTTATAAATTATGTCACTGTGAAACACACTACCTCACTGTATGAATTTCAATCTGTATACCGGTATATTACTGCAGCCTATGAAGAAAAGTTTGGTGACATGACTTTGTACTGGATTTGTTGTTGTTCTTAATTTGCTCTTTCTGAAAGTAGATCATGTAGACATCTCAAATTCATTTTGGAAGTATTAAGAGAATATAATAGTAATAACTGAAAAGGGAAGTACCTATACTTTCAAATGATTGTACTTCTTAACCCCGCTTCATACTGACCTATTGGGGAATAGGGTAGAAGCGAAAGAGGATTTCTGAGGATTAATCACAGAATTTGACAAAAAGTAGAACATCTGGACAGAACTGAGGAGATCAGGCCAGGCGAGCCTGTCAAACTCACTGTTTTCTCTTCCTTTTGTTTCACATGGCAGTGCTTCCTATGGAAGGTGTCCAGTAAATCTGACTTAAGTTAAAACAATCTTATCCATATATTCTAAATACACAGTTTTACAAAGCATTCTTGTCAACTTGGAACATGCTCCTTACAGCATGTTACCATCACAAGATCGCATCTGAAGGCCACGCTCTACAAATGGTCAATGTGAAATTCTATTTAAGCGTAAAATAGATTCTATTATTTCTCACTTCAAAGACCTGTACTTTCCATTATTAAGAATAAATCAATTCCCTGTCCAAGATAACCACCAAGTCAGACTGCACTGTCTCGAGCTTTCTGATTGAAGAGTCAGCACCTGTGTGACACACGATGCTTTATATCGATAAGGATTTTCACTAACCTCCTCCTCAATTCCTAAAAAAGACTTTTCATATTTAACAGAGGAAATGCATAAGGGAGTGTGTGTGCTGAGAGGTTTAGGTCCTTCTGCTGATAGAGGAACACCACATGCTAATCCGTGCATGCTTTTCCACACATCTGGAATACAGCTAACGCACACGCTCAGCTTTTGCAAATGAGATTCAAAGAAACAGATACTTTTTGAGATAGGGAAAAATTTTTTTTCACTCATCAATGTATTTTAACCATATTTTCACATCAGTAATCATCTATATCACCATTTTTAAGGACTCCTAATAATTCCTTTCTCAGGTGGTACCATAATGTTTTAACCATTCCCTATTGATTGATATTTGGAATTTTTTTCTATAGATAAGGCTTCAATGAACATGATTTACCTATATCTTTTTCTTTTTAGTTTTTATTTAAATTCCTGTTAGTGAACATGCAGTGTAATATTGGCCTCAGGTGCACTATGTAGTGATTCCACACTTCCACACAATACCTGAAGCTCATCACAAGTGCCCTTCTTAATCCCCATCACCTACTTCGCCCATCCCCCACACACCTCTCCTACATTACACTTGTATCTTTACATACTAGTCTGATGCTCTCCTAAGAATAAATCCTTAGAAGCAGACTTACTAGGTTAGAGTATGCATTTTTTTCAGTATAATTAACATATAACATTATATTCGTTTTAGGTGTACAATATAATTGATTCTATATTTGTATATATTGCAAAATGATCACCATAGTGAACCTGCTGGACATCCATTACCAGTTACAAAATAAGAAAAACTTAAATATGGTCTGGGTATTAGGTGATTTTGAAGGCTGATTATTAAGTTTTTAGGTATGGAAAAGGCATAGTGGTTATGTATACTAAAAATTTTATCGGGGCGCCTGCGTGTCTCAGTGGGTTAAAGCCTCTGCCTTCGGCTCAGGTCATGATCTCAGGGTTCTGGGATTGAGCCCCACGGGCTCTCTGCTCAGCAGGGAGCCTGCTTCCCCCTCTCTCTCTGCCTGCCTCTCTGCCTACTTGCGATCTCTGTCTGTCAAATAAATAAATAAAATCTTTAAAAAAAAATCTTATCAAGTTGAAATTCATATACTATTCGGGGGTATATTTTCCCTTTGCTACTCAAGGGAAATTCTAGCAGGCCCCATAATTCTCTGCCACTTCCAGGTAACAAAGTCCTGAATTTAGTTGAAGTCACAAAACACAATTGTGATTCAGGAAATGAAATGTAAAGGTCGATATATTAATGGACCCTTTCAGTAAGGCAAAAAAAAAAAAAAAGACTTCTTGCTCCACCCCACACCCCCAGCTAGGATGTGTATAGGCAGGCTGCCGGCCTCTATCTTTTCAACCCACTTCCAGCTTGCTAGCTGCTGTTACTTGACTTCAACTGCCATTAAAACAAAGTGATAGGGGCCGCTGCTGCCTCCCAATGCCCAGTAGCCCCTTTGTCTTTACAAAAAGAATCCCAACTTTAAGCTGGGCCCATTGCTGCCCCAAAAGCTTGGATTTCTTGGCTTCATTCCGAGCAAGGTGTGAACCCATGACTGACTCTGGTTAATGAGATACAAGTGAAAACGATGGGGGTATACTCTGAAACGATCCTTAAAAGAGATAGGGCAGCAGACCTTTCCTCTGCCCTTCCTCTCCTCCAGCTGCCTGGAACATGACGTGATGGCTGGAGCTTTAGCAGCTCCCCCGACCATGAGTCTGAGGACACATTCAGGGCCATGGGAGCAGTGAACTAGGAGGCTTGTTCCTCCTAACTGTATGGAGCCACCATCCTTTCCACAAATTGCCTATGTCCTGACTTACTCTACGTAAGAGAGAAATAAACTTCTATTCTTTAATTTTCTTTACCATTGTTCTTTCATTTATATGCAGGCAAACGTACCCTCACCAGCACAGAGGGCTTTGCATTCTCTGAACTAGTAGCTACTTAAACCCGACTCCCTGTCTCTTATGGGTAGTTTTGTGGGTTCTTCAGGGGCTCCCCTCAAAATCCTTGTGATATAAGTGATGCATTGAAGTCCTTCGTTTGCCACCCCCACCCAAGCCCCTAACATTCACTTGATAATCTCTCTCTGCTGACTGTGCCACTTGGGACGGAGGTCGAACAGCTCCTGGCTGGCTCTCCATCCCTGCATGGGCCACATCTGGTCCATGGGAACACCGCACAATCGCTCCAACAAACTTGGCAGTTGGGGGTAGCCCTATCGCAGCTGCTCCCCACTCAGCCCAACACCAAAACATCTCACCAGAGTCAGAGCCAGTCCGCTGTGCTCCCAGCTCCCTGGGCGACCTCTCTCCAGGATGGGGCTGAGGAACAGCTCCCCCACCTCATGCTTCTTCCAGGAAAAGGGGGTGAGGTGAACTCACAGCAGTGGCTTCTCCAGATAAATCCTCCTTACAAATCTTGTATCGATGCTTTATATACCCTCAGAGTGAAGAAGATTTTCAAGAGCTGTGAACCCGATGTTCAGATATCTCCTTTGAAAATGCCTATTTTGCTCTTTCTCACAACGTATTTTATAGTCACTTCTATCTAGTACATCTTGAGGCATTAGTCAAACTTTCCAACTCAGCTGCTTATGACAAAAACAATGCCTTACGGGGGGATGCACATTTGTGGTAAAACCGTAAAGAAAAGCAAGGAAACAATAACAATATTTGGAAGAGCGTTCATCCCTGGGGTGGGTGTGGGGGCAGGATGAAGGAAGGAAATGGTGATCAACAAGCACATGCAAGGGGCTTCAAAGAGAACGTTCTAGATGTTTATCTGGTGGTTATTCGCTTTATGATTATAAGTTAAAATGTGCACACACATTACATATACATACATTTATTCATAGCCTACGATGTAAAAGAACAAAAACAAAATAATATATAAACTCCACAGCAAAGTAATTTGGAAAGAAGACTGCTCTCTGAGAATCAGGCTGTAAACTCGACACAAAATGGAGGAAGCTGGTCAAAAAATGACTTCCACCAGTGGTTGAAAGATTTCCTCGAAGCATCAGGGTGTCGTTCTTAGAGACTTCTGCAGTGGCAGTTAGCTCTGCAGTATGAACAATGCCCTTAGCATATCTAACCTTCTTAACTGTCTGGATGACAAGTGTCGGGGAAAATATTACAGAGGTGCTCACTGGTAGCTCACAGCTACATGGGGCAGAGAAAGTCCGCAAGCCCCCGGAACTGAGACAGTCCTGGCCAGAAATTCAAGCGAGTGGACCCCATTGGCAGACTCTATGTTGGTGATACCAACCCCGAGCAGTAGCGACAGTTGATAAAGTCTCCTGAATTCCCTCTGTATGATCTTTGTAAGAGTCCAAGCAACTTTCTGATTACAATCTGGCTTCTCTGGAGCCTGTCTATGGGAAAAGAAGATGCTGATCGTGTAGATTTTATGGTTGTAATTAAGGCAATATTAGCTTTATTATAACTCACAATGACAGCTGATACTTATATGTTTATGCCACTTGATCCTCACAAAAAGTCTTCATCCTGGTGATAGGCAGCACCTAAAGAGCAACAGAGACCAAGATCCAAACCCCAGCTCTGACCCTTAATAGCTGTGTAACCTTGAGCAGTACATTGACCTTCTTAGGTCTCAGTCTCCTCATCTGTAAAGTGGGAGTAATGGTAGTTCCCACCTCATGGCACTGTTGTGAGGATTAAATGAGTGAATATCCCTAAAGCTCCGAGACAGCAGCTATCACGTAGTGAGTATAATATAAATATTTGCTGTTACTCCGTGTTATAGACAAAACAAGTGGGGCTCAGAGTGGTAAAGTAACTTGCTTAAGCTCCACAGCTAGTATGTGGCAGATAGTTAACCCAAACACACTAGGCTTCAGACCCCACGTGCTTGACCCACATCCTTGTCATTAACCATCTCCGTAATTATTCGTCAACATAAATTAACCCCTGTGCCTGCTGGGTCTGCCTCAACCTTGGGGCCTGGGGTTTGATGACTTCCTTGGGGCCTGATAATGGTCATCACAGGCTGAAAACAGCAGGCTCTGGGCCTTTGAAACAGAGTACCTGACTCTCCAGCTGGGCCCCAGTCTGGCCCAGTGGCAGCTGACCTTCCCCTGGCTGTCCCCGGACAGCTGTCTCCTCTTCTGCTGACTCCCCACTGAAGGCCGAGATGCTCAAAGGCAGGCGTTGGTTCTGAGTTCTCAGTTTCTAGCAATATACCAATGAGCAAACATAAAATGTAAATTCTTCTGTAACCCCAGATAGATTCAGATTATAGGCTCTCTGTCTTCAGCTGGTTGTAAAGCAGCAATCCTTCCTTCAGACCTTTTCTAACCTACCCAAGCCAAGGGCACCCTATACCTGTGAAGGGCCTGGGAAACGGGAAATGGTCCAGTCGTCATCCTCTGCCAAGGGTCTCCGACTGTCCTGAAGAGAAAATGCGGTGGGACAACAGAGCTCCAGTTCCTGCTGCTAATACCCATGTGAACTTGGCTGAACCCCTTCGCCTCTCTGAGTGGCAGCTTGCCCATTTGGGAAGCAGAAAAGTTCGGGAAAATCTTTAAGTTCCTTCCATTCTTTGATCTCTGTATCTGTATTTTAATCCAGAGCCAAAGATCATTTTGATTTGCCTATACTCACAAACAACTCAGAATAAATTCTCACATTAAGGAGATACTCAGACTGCTTCCCACAATGCAATGCCACTGCTATTTGCAACTGAACAGGGATAAAGGCACTTTCAAAAACCCCAACATGAGCTCCGGGGCTCCTAAGAGAGAAAAACCTATTTGCCTGATAACATACATCACATGAAACTTATGTCTTGAAAGCTTTTCCCCCTGAGAATACCAAGCAATAACCTGGGCCTATTCCTAATGGGTTCATGTCCATCAGCCCCGATCACACGTGAGCACACATGTGCCTCTGTGTTTGCACACGCTCACGGTAGAATGTAGATCTTTTTTTTTTAGAAATTTAAACAATAAATGAGATAGTACTATGAAGACCTCAAAAAAAGAAAAAGAAAAAAGACAACATCCATTACAGCGGTTGTCCCAAAATGAGGTGAGACAACTTACCAAACATATCAGAGTGATTAATAATCTTATTTTGGGCCCTGGACTAATTAAATGCTTACTATTAAATCAGTGATGCAAATAAATTTTTGAGCTAGTCTGTACAGAAGAAATAAGTTGAAAAGGATCATAATGGATTACCACATGGCCCTTCTGGGGACAGTGGCTTGAGATGGACAATTCTTTTTATCAGAAGTATGTAGGAGATGCAGTTACTTACTGACTGGCTTTCCCTTCTTCCAAACATCATTGTAACTTGTATTTTTATCCTTTCGAGCTATTTTAAGATTCTTTAATTTAGTAAAATTAATTTTATCAGACATATCTGTTCAGAAGCCTGACTCATGAAGCAAACTATAGATAATAAATTTCTCCACTCATTTTTAAGAGGTTTCGTAATCTTTATGTAGGGCCCTTCTTAACAGCTCAACAGTGCTGAACACCTCATCAAACTTCCAGGCACTATGTTTGTTACACTGGACTCTGATAGAAGGGGGGGATGGGGCGGGAACAAAAGACAAATGATCAGGAACCTGAGGTACATCGCAGGTAATGACCAGACTGTGATTCTGAATGATAACGCCAGGCTTGCGCTGAACACTTTGCCTAATTAGACTTCACACAAGGGGGAAAAAATGCTTTAATATTTAACAAGTATAATGGTGTAATCAATGTACACAAATCAGGCCTGATAAGGAATATTGCTTATTAAAGAGAGAGACAGATGGCTCCGGGAAAGGTATGGTCATTAAATGTAAAACCTCACAGGCTCCAACTGCGAACACCAGCCACGTACTTTCAAATTACCACTCCAACCCCAGACACTCCATGCATTATTTAGTCCTGTCCTCTTTCTTATAGGTACACCCACACCACAGATTTAATAAAATAACTCGGTTCAAAACACTCATCTTTGCTGTTTCTCAGAGCTGTCTTTTCCTAAACACTCTTGCTGCTGTCAAAAATCCCACTAAGTCGATGTCCAACATCTCTGTTATAATCTTTTCAGTTAGATAATTAGTCCTCCTTTTTATTATGCTCAAGAACACTTAATGTGTTGGAAGCATTCCTGACTATTAAATCCACCCAGCCTGCCACAAGATTATGAATATATAATTTGTTTATAGGTAGCTTTTAAGAAAACACAAAGCAAACAGCACACAGGAATATAGTTAAAAACAGGCATGCTTATGAACTGCAAATCACAGTAAGAGATTTCTAAGGGTGGGTTATCTGTTCAGTTTCTCCAAGGCCAGCTTTGCATGAAGATACAAAGATCCTAGAAGGCAACCAGCCCATTCATGAACCCACTTGTTTACTAAGCCTATTGACTTTTAAGTGGCTGCATTTGTTCATTCCATGCATAGCACAGAGAACCCACTGTGCCTACACACTGTGCTACATACTCCTTGGGATGCACTGAAAAACTATGTCAAGTACCATCTCTATGCTCCGGGAGTCTACGTGATCCGAGGACACAGAAGCAACGACAGTGCCTGCCATCATGTAATGCCTGGTACTAACAGAGGTACAGTGACAGTCTTGCAAGTAGGAGCTTTTGTGACAAACAGACCTACATTCAAATGCTGGTTCTGCCTGTCATAGTGATCTAACCCCCTGAGGTAGTTCATCGATAAAAATCTCAGTTCCTGGGTGCCTGGGTGGCTCAGTGGGTTAAAGCCTCTGCCTTCGGCTCAGGTCGTGATCTCAGGGTCCTGGGATCAAGCCCCGCATCGGGCTCTCTGCTCAGCAGAGAGCCTGCTTCCCCCTCTCTCTCTGCCTGCCTGCCTACTGTGATCTCTCTCTCTCTCTGCCAAATAAATAAAATAAAATCTTTTAAAAAAAAAATCTCAGTTCCTCAAATATAATTGCATGGGTCTAAAAAAATTCCACAAATAAAGTGCTTCAAATAGTGTTTAGCACAGAGTGGATTTCTTCCTAACCTTCTCCCACTTCTGCATTCCCAGGATAAAATGGGCCTTATTTTACCTGAAAAACCAATTTTTCAACCCCCGACTTAGCTACAATGATACCCATATCCACATCTTACTTCTCTTTGGCACAAACAATCCCATTTTTCATTTGTGTCCCCAAACAAATTCCTCTAGAACTATTCTTACCAAGTCTCTCCAGAAAAAGCATGGATTTGAAGTGCAGAGAACAAAAGATTTCGCATCTTAACCCAATAGCTGCATATGCACAGATGAAGCTGAGAGCATTTAGAGTCCATTGGACCCACGAAGCTGGTTGCCGTGATTTCCACTTCTGATGTTGTCAAGTCAACAGGAAATAAAAACCAATCCCCTTGGCCTCA